CCCATTTTTCTTGTATTGCACTTCTGTCTTCAGTTGATAAAACATCTTGCCAACTTTATGCTACAATTGATGACTAAAAAGTAGAGGGTAAGTGGTCATCTAGACATTATTTTCTCGGAGCAATACACATTCCTAGGCAGTAACAGCAAAAAAATTCGATTCTCTTGTCAACTCATTCAAGGTAGATTAAATAATAGTAAAACTTTAAAGTAATTAAAAAAAACGGTCTTGAGAGTTGACCATTCTTAACACATTACTAACTTCAATGAATAACAGATATTTTTAAAAAGTGCACTTCCAAAATCTTAACAGGAATATTTTGTTCATCAGTTTAAAGTAACTAACCTTATGTATCTTCTGTCTTTAATCTATAAACTTTTAATATGTACTGATATACCTATATCCTAAAAGGTTTTTAAGATTTATTACTTTTTTTCGTGCTACTTGCTACCTCTTACCACATACACATAACCACCAAGTCGACCTAATTTAAAACAATTTTTCGCCGACTGGATCTTCAACACTGCCTATAATCTGAATATTCGTTCATTGAGGGGGGGATGAATTGAGAGGCACCTAACCCTGCCAAATAATCTTAACAGACACTCAATCAAATTGTGCAATAAATTATGATTCTATTGCTGACTTGTAAAGCATCTAACGTTGAATTGTGGGAGGAGGGAAGGACCTGTGGGTCAGGTTAGCCTGTGGAACGCCTTGAGTATACTGAGTAAATAGATTGAATTGGTCAAGTGGTGAAATACTAAAATGTGACTCCCATCTTTCCTAGTTATATTCTGTTTAGGGCTTACAACAAAAATGGGATTCTATCACTGTTTCGTTTTCAGAAAATAAAATAAAAACGTGTTTATGTATGCGTATTATTTTCCATTACGACAAAACTTTTCAGTCAAATTTAATAAAATGTGTATGTGCGCGCGTTTGATTTTTCTATTTAAAAAATATATTTAATCTTGTGAAAATTTTTATTAGATAAGAAATATGTATTAACCTAAGATGAAAAGTTACTATTTAAAGGAGAGTATTTGTCTTCGATTACTACCTTGACTCGAGAAGGCAATGATTTTGCAAGACTTTTTTTTTTTATTGAAACAGATTTATTATTTCTTTCCGACGACCCATGGTCGTGATTTTCATTGGTACAATCTACCTTTTTATAATATTCTGCAGATTCTCTATCGAATTGATGTGCGGTAAGTTGGGTGGCCATTCTAAGAGCTCGACATCGTTTCGCCTGGAGCCATTTTGTTTTAGTGCTGTTTCTTATGTACATGTTATCATTCATGATAAGAAACCCCGTTTTTACGAGCAGTTGTTTCTTTGAGAAATTTGATTATATCGTAAAACGGTATTAGTGATATTGTAATTAAAACAACCCGATAAGTTTAAACATTTTATTAATCGTCTGTTTCATATACAACAATTTGTAATACTTGTGACCATTTAAAAAAAAATTTTTTAAAAAGGCTTACTTCCTTTTGTACATTGCTTACCTTAGTTTACTACGGAGCTGGGATCTATGGTGATTATCACTTTCAGGCCAGAAAATAATATTTGAATAACTATTTATGAAAGCCATCAATCGCATATTTATTTCATTTTTAAAGCTGAATAAGTCAATTAGTTCACTCCCTTAAGTAAGAAATGATAAGCTGGGTAAGATATAAGAAAACCAAATTTATATTAAGTAATTCATTTTCAGATTTTCAAGCGAATACCCATACACAAAAATTAAACTTTATGGTACCATAAAGGTAGTTTGCATCAAAAATGCTATTAAAGAAGAATTACAAATTATCTAACAAAGTCAATTTTTTCAACATATGCATGACAGTTATAAGCAAGTTGCTAGCAAAAATGTTTTACATATAACAAATGAAAAGACATCTTTATAATTTTGTAAACGAATAATAAGTGATGTGTAGACATTGTCATAATTCCGTTTAACATGAAACTGGACTGATGCGCGTTTTCTCGCCTTTTAAAATGATTTTTCATTATTTTGAAAAAAATCAGATCATTCCTCTTTTGCAGCCAACAAAAATGCTGGTTGTATTTAAAATTCTTTGGATCTATAAATTGCTTTTACTGGAATGATAACAAGCTAGAGATGGATCATAATTGTGGATAAGATCAAAAACTATAGATTATACTCGCAAAAGTATTCGAATATAATAGGAATATTTCAGAGAGCAATGTCAATGCTAAGAAGCGCATTAACATAACCACAGTGATCAAACAACGAATACGATGATACTAGACTAAATACTTCTTAGAATAAAAACAACACTTTATCACTAGATGAGATGTACTAATTGAAACAAGAAATATGAGCATAGTAGTCCGAATAATTCTTGAAATAATAGGCACACTTCATCCCGTAACTCTGCCAAACTCTCGGGAAAATCTGAAAACGCAGTGGGTGATAAGATGTAATAAAAACAGTAAAGAGTAAAATGCTGTATTTAAGTATAAGATACTCCAGCCATAGATACTGAGTAAGCGGAAAAATACTTTTATATCATTTGTTTTTATGGCTTTCAGTCTTAGATTACCATTATTTGCCCGTTTTCTGACAATGATCACTTAATATAAACACAAATAGGATAATGATGAACATTTCTCTTTAGACAGAATCTGAAATAAATTTACAAAATAGATTTATTTTCTTTCTATTGTTTTTTATGATAGAATTATCATTAAACAAAGCTAAGATCATTATTGTAATAATAATAATAATTAGTAGGTTAGTAAATAATAATGGTTTGGAGTGGTGACTGTGGATGAGAGTGAAGCCGGATTTGGCGGGAAAAACGAAATGTGACTTAACATTTAGTTGGAATGGCCGCCATCGCCAACGAAGTCAAGATATTTGTTCCGAAGTTTTAAATGTTCAAGTGAGCATTGCGACCCCCCGAGGCGCGAGAATCAGAGATAACAGCTAAGTTAACACATTAACGTATAATAGAAGAATAGGAAGAAGAAAAAAGGCCACAAGACAATGCATGGTTACCATCAGAGAATAGAAGTGATACAGGTTACACTGTATTCTTTCCTCATCCTATCTTTTATTTATTATGTGTTATTCTTTCCTTTGCTTTTATTTTGTAATGGGGACAAGAGAGGTGTCGAGTGACAGAAAAGGCAACTAGGATAAGGGGTAAAGAAAGACCATGTAAACGGATAAAGGGCAGAGAGCGTCTCAATGTCTCGAGTAGGTCGGACTAGTTTGACGGTGCAGAACTCAATGCTCAGATAGGATTATCCAGACCATTGTGTCTTGATCAGTAACGCTAATTTGATAAAATATGAATAGTTAAGGACTTTATTAAATTTTCCAGTCTGGGTTAAAAAACAGCTGGGCCTGTACTCGGCAGAAATCAGATTAACGTTTCAGGGGAACCGGTCGCTACTGAAAATCTCTCTGCTGCCCGTATTGCATTATTCTGTTCGTTTACTTAAATAATTCACCTTCCTACCGCCTCATCTTTCTTTTTCTTCATCCCTACGAATAGCATTAGGAGCAGTTATGCAGCAACTAGCCGCCCGGGTCTGCTGAGAGAAACATTTGTATAAGGCATATGCCGGAAAAAGCAGAAAAGGGACTCGTTTTAATAGGTTCAAATTGGGTTTCTTTATTCGACACTAGTGCGGTGAAGAGGTGTCAAGCATTGATGGTCGGTCAATGCTTACTAAAAGATGATAAAATTGGCGATGTTACATACACATAAGTATTAATGAGTAACAAGAATTAGGCCGGGGGTCATGAGAATAGTGGAAGCATGTCAAATCGAAGTCAAACTGACAAGTCGGGGTGAAACGTGAGAGGGGGCAGCAGGGGGTGAAACCCGAAAGGGGGGCAGCAGGGGGTGAAAAAAATAAATGGGTGAATCAGTTACAAGAATACATTACTATTCGTAGAGTTCTTTTTATATATTTAAAATAGTAATTCAACAATGTCAATGATCACTGTAACAGAAACTAATTTTTGTTCCATCTCTCTTTTTATAACGAAAATCTAATTATACTCTTTCATAAGCTTTAAAACAATAAAAAAAAAATCCACTGGAATCATAGTACCACGTAACTTTACGCCTCAGTTGCATCATATTTTATTGCTGTCTTTTACTTACATCCAAAGTATAGATACCAAATATGCTAAATAATGGTAGTTACTCTCAGACTGACAATTACATTCTTTTGGTAATACTAATGCCATCATTCTTATAATCACTATCATTATTGTTTTATAGACAGTATTAAAAAAATCATTTTTCCGAAGCTGAGAGTAAATACATTTTTACAACGTTGCCCTGACTCTTCTGTCTACTAACATTAAATGCTATTAGGAATAACTTGTTAAGATTACTAGCAAATGGGAAAAAAGTAGTGAGGTTTGTAAGTAATGAAAAAAAGCTTCACGAGTATTTTAAGCTTTCCTTTTTTCAGCTTTAGTTCTGTACAGTATTTTAAAGTTATAAATATCTTGCATTTCAGGGATGTATCTTAAGTATAGCGGGATAAATGTAAACAAAAAAAAAGTCTCAAGTATGTGCATGAAGAAACAATCATATTTTAAATCGTTTGAGAAATATTTATATGGACAGTAAGTTTAAAATCTTATAAAATGAAACCTAAAAAAAAGTACCTAATGAAACATTCTCCTTTATAGCTATAGTAATGCAAAAGAGAAAGAACGAAAAGAAAAAATAATAAAAAATAATGTTCATCGTATGACTAGAGCAATGGAGATAGCTAAAAAGTGTGTAATGGCGAGTGGGTGAATGCAGCACAAGTGAAAGTGTTGGAGGGAGCTCAGAGAAAGACAACTGCAGGGGGTAAAGTAAGAGTGGGAACAGTGGTGAGAAGGAGGCTTAGAGAGAGAGAAAGAGTGGAAACCCCTGTGCGAAGGCTCAAAAAAAAAAAAAAAAAAAAAAAAAAAATGATAGATGGAGGCGGAATCGAGGTGGGGTGTAGGCTCAGAAAAGAGAGAGAGAGAGAGAATCGGTATCGCTGTTGGTACGAGGCTCAGAAAAAATAGTTTGAGTCGCTGTGGGGAGGAGGCTCAGAGAGAGAGAGAGATTTGGAACCACTATGGGAAAGAGGCTCAGAAAGGTAGAACACAAGAAGCAGAAAAAAGGTAACGAAAGAATTGGAGTAGAACGAAAAAATAAAATAAATGAAAATACTGTTGTGGTTAGGATAGACAAAGAAGAATTAAAAGTAGAAGAATACAACAACGAAAACCTGAAGTAGCAAACTAGAAAGAAAGAATTAAAATAAGGAAAGAGGAAGCAAAACGCGAACGTGCGAAAAGATGGGGATTAAGTTTATTCATCTCTGCTGGAAGGTAAACTAATCGAAGACAGAAATGGTTGTGCAGAGGTGGTGCCATTGAAAATACGCAATACGGATACGACATATAAAAGTCAGAGTGGATATATACAGTCAGTTGGCCGGAACGAAGCAAGAAAAACGCATAGATGTTACGCACGCGCGTACGCACAACAGTTGGAAGTGACAGTCTGCCTTAGAGGTTTTGTTTCTCATATCTAGCAACCTCGCCGCAACGACACCCCCACCATACCGCCAACCTATCTCTTTCTTGCTAACCAACCCCCTCACTCCGTTTCAATAAACCAACCTCACCACTATCATCGTCTTTGTTGTTATTTGTTTTCCCCTTCTCACGTACGTGTATGCATGGTTGTAAAACCATTGATATTATCATATCCTTTACCCTCCACTTTTTCTTCGAAACCATTTCACCCAAGCACTCACCCATCGCATCTTTCGGCTCGACTTTTTTTTTTCCCTATCCAGAACAAAGACGCACCGTCATCTGTTTGGGCCACTCCCTTATTGTCTCATCAGGGATTTGCGAGATCACTTGTCCGTAATATGCAGCTACTGAGGCAGTCTCAAACAGGAATATAATTCCATAATAGCCAATACAATAGAGACTTGAAGAAGAGGAAAAGGAAGAGTGTGAGAAAGAGTGGGAGAAACAGCGGAAAAAGGGAAGTTGAAAGAGGACGAATGACCAGGAAGAAATGAGAAAAGAAGCTTCGACTTTTCGAGAGGGAAAAGGAATTAAAGAGAGAAGGGATGGACGAAGGAAATTAGAGAGAGAAGGGATGGACGAAGGAAATTAGAGAGAGAAGGGAGGGACGAAGGAAATTAGAGAGAGAAGGGAGGGACGAAGGAAATTAGAGAGAGAAGGGAGGGACGAAGGAAATTAGAGAGAGAAGGGAGGGACGAAAGAAATTAAAGAGAGAAGGGAGGGACGAAAGAAATTAAAGAGAGAAGGGCGAGACGAAAGAAATTAAAGAGAGAAGGGCGAGACGAAAGAAATTAAAGAGAGAAGGGAGGGACGAAGGAAATTAAAGAGAGAAGGGAGGGACGAAGGAAATTAAAGAGAGAAGGGCGAGACGAAGGAACAACAGGAAAGAGAGAAAGAGAGAGAAAGAATTAGAAGAAAGGTGGAATAAAAACAAAGTCTAAGAAAAGCGAATTTAAAAAGACTAACATCTTTTTTTAAATGTTGAAATTACAAAATTCCTCTATATGGATTTTAATTTAAAATGTCATCATCGTCAAGTGTTTTTCGTCTTTAAATAATTGCCGGCATAATAACGGTAATCATAATTTTTGACTTCTTGAATTTAAAGTACATGTAATCGAATAGTCGAACGAAGAGATAAAATGAAATTTAAAATGAGATTAATAGATCTATATTTGACAAGTGATTTCTTAAAAGAAGATAGACTCTCAAAATATTGTCTTACCTGATCTGTACTGTTATCTGTATGGTCCTGACTTTCTGTTCCTGATTTTGGTGTGGTAGATCCTCCATCTCTTTCATCGATTACTAAATCGATTGGCATTTTGCCTTTCAAACAGCTGATATAACGTTGACAGAAATTGTCACACAGTTCATGTACCTAAAGATAAAAAAAATAAAACAAAATTGATGAAAAAACAGGAATATTTATACAAGAGTTATTACAAAAGGTATACACTATAAGACATTTGCATTTAAATGTGTACATAATATATTACAAAAGGAATACTTATAAAAATGTTCAAAAACTTTTTAACGCTTAAAATGCAACACAAACTTGTTTGAGTAATTTAAGTGATTAGTTACAACAGTTCTTTCTCTTTAGCTTAATTCTTTGATTCAACATTTCTTTTATAGAAATAAATCACCGAATTGTGCGTTATTTAAATCAAAGGTAGGAATATTATCTGCGGCAGACATTTATGTGACTCATACAATACTGTGATATATTGTGAACTTAGCTAATAAACGATATTTTCTAGTCATAAGCGTACAAAAAGAAATCCTTACTGAAGGAAAATGCGTCAGATAGTCTAAATGCAGAGTAATTTCTAGTTTAATGGAGAAACAAAAGCAATTGGTTTCACAAAAATATTTCTTTTCCTCTTTAGAAAAATGATTTTAAGTGTTGAAAGTTTTTAAACATTGTGCATTTTGAATAGATGACCATGTGTGAAATTAAAAAAACAATCAGGAAATTGGAGATAAATAAAGACTACAAACTATTTTTAATAACAAAGACTTATGAAGAAAAGCATGCCCACACACAAAAATTATCTTATTGTATACGTATTAAATTTATACTATAAACGAATAAAATGGAGCAGGTTCTGAATTCTAAACTTTTAAAAATAATTGCGATCCCATAGGCAACTTTGATTAGTGAACAATCATCTCAACATTTGTAGGTTGCTAAATCTCTTGTAATGGGGATATATTTTAATATTTTCTTAAATGTAAGTATATTTTAAATACGGTTTTGATTTGACGACGAAAGTAAATTCTCGATAGAAATGCTTTGATAGTTAGACAAAACATACCCACTGTTTTGGAATCAAACCACTACCTATCCAAGAAATAAATATGAAATTAGATCAATAAATTCTTAGTTATACTACTAGTAATACGTAGTTATATAAATTGTAATATGAAATCTTCGCTATGTGGCGAAGATATGGATTGAGTTGACAAGTTATGTTAAAAAAACAAATATCGATGTATACTGTCAAAATAACTTTTTTTTTCTTTTGTTATGAAATTACAAGGTTTTCTATTGGCTGGTGTATTAGACAAGGTCATTTTAGCAAACAACAGATATTTATATGACGGAGTTGCTGAACAATTATCGGCTCAATGCATTTCCTAAACATCTGACTGAATGACCAAACATTTTTGGAAGGGCTCCTTTGTCAGGTCGATAATTTGTCAGCACCCGTTAAAAATTACTCTATGGAAATGCCGTAATAGTTATCATAAAGATGGAATTGGCGAATATAATTCGAGTTTCGTCTGAGGTTGCTTGTGTTTATTTAATTGGGAATGGCATTTCATTGAAAATGGCATTAATCTACGTTCCTGTGCTTAGGCTCATTATCAGAAATCCTAAACAATGCCTTGTCACTGGCATGCCAAGTTGACTGACACAAGAGTGTGAGAAAACTAGTGTAAGCCACTTTCCCATTAGTAATGTTCTTACCTCTGCAGTTAAGTAAAGGTGTATACATTGAGCATAAAACAAAAATATTTTTTCATTATTTTAAACTGATACTTATTTTGCCATAACGAAATTGAAAGTGTCAGATCATTCAGGGTTGAGTGGACATGCTTGATATACCATGGTTTTTAGTGTGTGTGTGTCTTTGAGGGAGAGAGAGATTGGATGGGAATCATACAGAATAGTAAATATATAAAACAATTTGTAAAAAAATTATTTAACCGGTTTCGTCGATCAATCAGTACCATCACAAAATGTTTTTCAAATTATCTCTCTCATATATATATATATATATATATATATATATATATGTGTGTGTCAGAGGTAGTGTTGAAAATACTGTAGCACTATCAGAAAGGGTTTAAAAAGCTGTTCAACCATTTGGTCAGATTCTCTTAAGTCGCATGTAGAAATATCACAATCTTCCATGGAGCCATAACAGTCGAGTAGATATAACCCAATACTCAAGCAATGGTAACTAGATGCTAACTTGTCGTAAAGCGGTGGTTATTTAGAGACAGATGTAAAAAAAATTTCTGTTATCCAGTCTCTCTTGGTGCAATGGATAAAAGTAGTTACTCGTTGAGTATTAAGTTGTTGTTTTTTTTTTCTTTAATTGACAACTAAATCCAGCAAATCTCTTCATTACTTGAATAAGCTTAACTGGAATCCAATCAATCCTTCAGCTTTCATTTCGATCATATTTTAACAAGTACGTTTCACAGGTTGAGATCGCAAGTCCTACCTCCTAATTATTTTCTATTTGCCTCTTGACTCTTAAAAGGATTGTACAATGGATTCTCGTTCTGTTGATGTATTTCTTATAGAGTGACTGACAACAAGGTTAAGAATCCAGTTTGTTCTATAACTAAATATCTCTGACGAGAAAAAATGGATCCATGCCTTTCTCAAGGGAATTAATGCAAAGTGAACACTAGCTTTCTCAACTGGAAATTGAATGTATGTTCCGTGGTGTTTATTCTTAGACCATCTACCTTTCCTAAAACTTACATTGGCTATAAATATATTTTAAAATAATCTTAGTGTAGACGTCTTTATACCTATGTTTTTATATATTATTATTATTATCGACCATACAATGAAATTTTAAACGTAATAATCTATCTTATATGTCACGCTCTTCTAAAACTTTCATATCTTAGACGGACACTGCTAAAAGTTTTGGACTAAAACGGCATCTCTTTTTTAAAACTTAGTCAGGGTCATTTTATGACAATATCGATGCAAATGTTCATGTCCAATTGCATCAATTTACTTTCCTTTTATTCAGAATCAAGGTATGAGCCGGTCGACACGGAAATGATAATTGACAATATTGAAATGGTAAAAAAGCAAATTCTTGGCAACCTTACCCACCAGTCTATTAAAAAGCCAAACAAAACCAATGGGCTAAGCATTATATTTTGTTTAGGAAAGGTACTATGTTAAATTGTCTGAATTTTTCGTAAATGAAGCAGTGTCATCAGTTCTAATGTATTTTCACTACTTTTACTATCAATGCTCAAATAGTTTTATATTAATTCTACGACAATTAGTGTGGATCAGTTCTTGTCTATGTCAGATGGGTCCCCAAATGCAGAAGATGCTAGTCTGAATTTTGTCAAACAGATTCTTTATTTCTGATCTTTATTTACGATTGCATAATATTAAAAACAATTTAAATGTTGCGACAAAAGTATGACAACCAAAAGTTAAGGTAAATTAAAATTAGTCAAATATTAGTAAGGGTCAGTGTTCTGTCCATATATAGATACAAATTTTTTATTCTTTTCCAAGTTAGCATTCTGATTTGAATTAGTCAGAAGACAAGTGAAAAAGACATCATTTATTTACATTTGTTTATTGAATTACTGCTTATTATTCTTAACCTGAACAAGATTAACCCAGATACAACTGGAAAGGTACATCCGTGGGAACTACAGACTTCAAAGTTACACTTATCTCTTCTTGCAAGAGAACGGTGCCACATAGAAACCAGATTCCAGTGTACAGTTTGGAAACTTTTCTTTGTTATAATTATCTTTTATAGTAAGTAGTGCAGGATAAAATTTTCACTTCTTGCTACTAATCTAAGAATATTGTCACTTCATAGTCATCGTAAGTAAAAATAGCGTGTCGAATGATAAATGTAAGTGAAAAGCAAATATTAACCCTAATATAGTTATGTATTTTTCCGGTGATGCAATGATCCTTTGTTAAAGAGTAGATGAAAAGTCAGAAATTTGAACTGTTTTTTTGCAAAGTAGGCTCTCCATTTTTGAAATACTGGAGCAGCAAAATCTTGTTAGTTCAAATGACTACATTTTGCTGAGCTTAATATGAACTGAGAATAGCAATTATTCTGTACAAAACAGTGAAACATTTATGCAAAACATGTTGACTAACTATCGCTCTATGTCAGGTATATTTGAATAAATTTAGTTATCTAATCTTAGTTTAAGGAATTAAACTCACTTTAAAGTTATTATCTGAAAGATCAACTGACGAACCACGAGTATATGCGGCAAAAGTAACGCCCATTTTTTCAAGCTGAGGTGGATAGGACGACGTGGAGCTATCATGATCACCAAGCCTATCACCACCAGACTATTTCTTGTGAAGTGTACTGAAATATCTTGTTTACATGCTCAAACTGAAAACAGTTCCTAAATTAACACAAGCAATTACTGATAAATTTTCCGAAATTAGTATAGAAATGTGTGAAATGGTTTATAGAAGTGTTGCTGATAGGGTTCATCGTTGTATTGAACATGACGGAGTGCATGTTAAATAGTTTGTTAATTATAACAAATGTTGTTTTAATGCGTCAATATTTATAAAAACAATTTAAACTGCTGTATTTTGTTCAGTAAAAGTTAAATAAAAAGGGTGTTACTTTTTCCGCGTTATATATATATATATATATATATATATGAAATAATTACTTTTAGACATCAATTTTAGCCCGACTTCGAAGTTTCTTCTGAAGACTGAAATCGGGATAAAATTGTTACTTAAGAGCTAAGTAATCTTATATAATATCATCAACTCTCTATTTTGAATATTATTTTAATATTTTTAATATTGAGCACTATATATAAAAATATCTTCTGCTGTTTCATATATATATAAATATACACATACATACTCACTAAGCTTAGCATAAAGGTACCATGATGAGACAGAAAGAGGAAATGTCCTTTGTGTTGTATGACTTGTTTGTTAACACCCTATAGCAAGTTTCCTAACCTTAATCTGGTACAGAAACAAAATGATGGGGCACCCAAGTGAGAAGTGAACCCATTATATATGTGAAACTAGTGTGTTAACCAACCATCTTCCTCCAGGCATATAATGTCTGACTAATTACTCGTATCCGAATATACCTCTCTGCTAGAGCGAATTTCTAATCCTTGTTGTAGACGCCTACTCATACACATTTGTTTGTTCAACACGCACAGAGCTCACTTGCAACTATATATACTGAGCGTACCTTAGTTACAGTTTCTGGAAGACAGCGCATACTGGCGTGAGCAACAGTTTTAACAAGACCAGTACGCTCAAACTCTCGATCACGATGACTTGTTACTTCGTGCTAGCACAAAAAATTTCACTCACAAATCCGTGGTATGGTTATCATACACTTTACAAAAGTGACGCATACTAAGATCGCCTCCCCAGTCTGATAACATCAAGAAGTCAAATCGACCCTGGTTCTCGGAAAGCGAACGTTCTAATCATTTGGCCATAACTGATTAAATATGTAAAATAGCATATCTAGCAAAGAGACATGTCTACGGTACCAACCTGTTTGAGCAGCGTGCTAAAATATACTTTGGCATAAGTTAGGCAGTATGCACAGATCCAGAGCGGAGTACCAAAGAGTAGCACTTTGTCTCTAGAAATAAGTGCCAACATATATGTATTCCTACTTTTCTGTGGCTTCATTTTTAAGGGAGAAAAAATTCATCACGTTACTAAATAAACTAATTCAAAACAATTTATAATATAAATTCTTACTGGTCGTGCGTCATCTGTCAAAACTGATAATGAATATAGCAATCAACGTGATATCGATATCTTCATTTAATTATTGTAAACTGGATTGGTCATACGTTTACTCACCGACTATTCTCTTTTGACTGTCAGTGTCATGGCAGGCGGTGGTAATGTGACAAATCTTTGATTAGCTTCTTTCCAAGAGTGAGAGTTCGGAACAGTTCCAAAATTCGGACTAAATTTTATTTTCTAAGCAGATAATCATGTCAACTTGCACTTTTTTAAAATTCTTATTTATCGATTAATCATGACGACGGAATAGAGTGATGGATTAAGATATTATCATCACTATTGTTTTAACTGTTTTTGGATTATGTTCTACGATTATAAATCGATCTATTCTTTCATCTTTTTGACCGTAACTAAATTTTGAAAAAAAAAAAAAAAAAAAAATCAACGAAAATCTTTTTTCAGTAAGATGGATCGAAATCCTTTAATTCTCAACAGTATATTGGTTGAATAGTCTTAAGATTGAACCAAAAAAAATCTTCTGTCGATTGAACCACTTATTTCTTTCGGCATTCAGACTAGCAGAAACATTATGGAAAATGTTAATTTTTAGATAAATAAAATTTAGTTTAAACATTGTCAGGACTTACTTTTTCCAATTCCAGCAAATGAAAACGAAGTACTTGGATAGCTTGTATCATCTGAAATGTAAAATGAACATGAAAACAGATTAGTTGCTATAAAAGTAAAGCTGTTTATGAAATTCGTTCAAAACTACACATTACAAGAATGCCAAAAAGCAAAAGCAATATTCTTTAATTTTTATATTTCAAGATCCCTTTTTTTAATTTTCGGCATTTTGATGAATTGTGTTATCAAATACGGGATAAAGACTGAATTACGAAAAGGGAGATAACTTTAAATGTGATAGAATCAAGATATTCCGGAATGGACAATAAGGTTATTTATTTATTCTTGTAATATTTAGATTTCTAAAAATGTGAGAATATTCATTATTTTACAAGATCCTCTATACACACGACTGGAATTCCGATTAGATAATTTTAAATCCAATCAGTTAATCGTTAAAAAATTAAAATAAAGAAAATTAGCTTAAAACATTGAAATTCATTTCAAAAAGGAAAAAAAAATCAATTTAAATCTTGTCACGTCGATATCACGTGATGGAAAGGAAACGCTATAAGAGTTTGTAAAATATTCACGTTCTTTTCCTTCTTTTTTTAATTTTTTTTTCATTTTAATGGAAAGGTAATAAACACTGGATTAATTATTGCGGACCTATTACAAAGCCGCAAAAGGATCAGCGTCAAGAACGTCGTAAATAAATAAAGAAAAATGATCAAACAATTTTTATCCCGAACAAATCAAATGAACCCAAAATCAACCAACGTCTTCATTTAAGGTTTTGACAAGCAGGAGCGTCTGAAGATCTGCGGGAGCAGCTGCCCACCCACTGTCTTTTGCCAAGGGGTGGCAGAGCTCTGTATATTAAAAGTTATCCACCCACTTTTTGAAATCTGCTCCATCGTTTTTAATTGCGCCTGGCGCCACTGTTGACAGTTTGTATGGAAGTCATTGTAAATTCTGTCCATTTGAGCTGTATATTCATCATTTATGCAAAAATTTATATATATATATATATATATATATATATATAAACACAAATACCTTTTTACCGATTGAAAATGTATCACACAGTCCGATAATTTATAGGTCAAAATATTGCCTTGGATAAAATTCCGTATTTTATTTTATTTACGAGTAGGAACATTTAATTTTAATTAAATTAATTAAAATAGACATTTGACTATCCTATCATCGAACAGTTTTAAACATATTTTGTTAAAATTGGCATATTTTTTATCGATTCTAACATCGAAGAGGAAAGAAGCAACTTTAAAAAATAATTTGTGATAAAAAGTGATGACATATGTATATAATGGAATTGGAAAAGAATCCTCTATTCCTCCACGAAACTAAACAATTAGTTTGGATAAGTACTGCTCTCGATTAGACCAGACGGACGATTTGACGGAAGTTAAAAAGCGAGGAAGAGCACTTGCTTCTTCGTTGATTAAGCAAAAATTTAAGTTTTCACTCATCCACCTGATATTCTTTCAAATTAATCTTTGAGTCTTTACAAAATTCATGAAAAATTGTAAAAACGCTTAGAGCATTTCTATGCCGAGAAAGATCAAAATTTCTAAGAGGATGAATTAAATATTTTAGAGATCACTAGGATAAAACGACAAATATGTTGATCAATAAAGTTGATTTTGTTCTACAAGAGATGCTTCAGATTTCTCGGCCTGATCAACTATCCAAAATCGAACCATTTGACTAAACATCAAAATTCTTTTAGAATCTTTTCTTGATCGGGGCAAGAACTTTTCAATGCGCCTTCGAATTTGATGTCTTATTTAAAATAAGCGAACGTTTTTGGTTACACAGTATATGTAGATACTGTTTAAATTAATAAATTTGTTGCTATTTTTATCATTTTATGGAATGAGAATGGAATTTAAATTTTATAAAATAAATCTTATATAATCTAAAATGATTTCATAATTTTTGTATAATCTAGTTATTAAATTGGATATCAATGAAAATTACAGAAACGCCTATCTACAATACACCCTTTTCAATTAACGTGTTCTTAATTATAAACTGTTAAGCACAACTATGAAGCGTTTTCGTCTTATAAAAAATATATACACACTTCTGTATACAGCAATTTCTAATGACCAAAGTGCACAACAAATATATAGTCGAAATGGTCTGCTAGATTATGTTATTTAACTGATCCTCGACGGTGATGCGCTCATATTTTAGTGATTAGTCTGACACAAAAATATGGTGGGCCCAGAAGTATTGGTCTGTGAGACATCCTGATCACCATTAGAAAATTACTAAACGTAGCTTAATACGGAGAAAGATACAATGATCATAAGCTTATAAAAGAATTCATTTCTTATTAGGGGCCCATTGACTCCATGCTTGTGTGTAATTTGGTTTCATCTAACAAACATACATTCTTATGATTTGAAAATGTAAGCACCTGAGAACAGCTGCTATAGACAAAGTGCTCGTGTACTAGTTCGTCAAGTAATTGCTTTCATGTTCACTCATCACTGGATACTCCACAAGTATGGCTTTCTTCTAAGGTTGGTTTGAACCAATAAATATTTAAGTAAGAATTTAATGGTTTTAATTAATAAGAAACGCATAAATGAATTATGTCAGAATTATAACTATCAGTTATTAAATAACGTACTTGTAAATTATTTTCAATAGAGTATTAAAACTGATCTACAAAAATTAATACTATTACAAGATTTAACCTCAGTTATGAATGCTGTACTTCAGCTTTGAATCAAAGCAATTTACTGAAGGTCAACAAAATAAAAAAATAACAAATGGTACCGTGTAATATAGTAAGATTGCCAAAGCGATAATTTGTGACAAGGCAATAATTTTTGTTTAAATGGCACTACAATATGGGTGTTAAAATAAAAGGAAAAGAAGTTTAACTTTAAAATGAATATATTTAAAAATTAATTCAACTAGAAACACAGAACTCAAAAGTATTATTTTCTGTTAATGATTTTGTTAAGTTAAAACAAACAATAACTAATAACATTTGGAGATAAATAATAGCAATAAGCTTTATTCCAATAGAATACCAAAGAAAGTTATAGCTAGACATACGACAGTATATCAAATCCGTAATCTAAAACATAATCTGAATTTTTTTCTCTATAATATTTGCCAATGAATTATACACATTGACAAGGAAGGAGATTATGTTGAGAATTTGATATTTATTAGATAAATGCATTTTCATCATTACTCTACAGACCATTCGACTTATCTACGCTGTAGTAGTAAATATAATATAAAAATACAAACGATAATTTATTACAAACTGGGATATAGCTGATCATCAGCATCAAGAGTGACTTATGTCTCATTAGTATATTCCATATAATCTGTGTCTGAAAAATATATACTTTATCATTTCACAATCTCTGAGGTCTCATAAGAGAAAGTATGTTATCAATATAATTATACGAGAAGTAATTGCATTATTAAGAAATTGCTTATATTTTTTTGGCCTCATAAGTAGTAAAAAAAAAAAAAAAGGGCAAAGAATGGGAAATATTCCTTACCAGGCTGTCCAGTTCGTGGTTGGCTGAGAATAACGGTTTTTCCGCACGGGCCTGTCAAGATAATAGTGAATGGAAAGTATTTCATAAAATTCTTTTTGAAAAAAAAAATAGAAAACCAACTTATTCGCATTATGATTCTTTATTAGAGATGAAATTTAATCAAAGCTACTAAATTTACATTAGTTAAAAACGGATTACACAGAATTGGTTCTCTCTCTCTCTCTCTCATATATATATATATATATATATATGAGCCGTTTAACGTTAATCAGGTTTTGTTTCGTTAATGTAGGTTTTGCTTTTGTGAAAATACTTTTCCTAAGGACATTGGGTCATCGGTGAAACATGTTAACATAGAAATTTATTGGATTTTATACATATATACATACATAAATGCATACAAATGATAAGGATGTTAAGCATTTGAAATTTTGTGTTTGAATGCTGACTACTGGTAAGTATTAACTGTTAACCCAATAAACAAGGTAAACGAGTAAACGTCATATCACGTGCTATAATATTTGTTACCTTTATAGATGAAGTGTGTATGGAAATGTAACTTATAGGATTGTTGTAATGTAAATTTTGTATAGAAAGACGTATGTGAACAAGAATCTTTCGCCTAATGGATAATTGGAAAAAGAAAACAAAATTATATCTTATTTGCCTTATAGCGTAATGTTTTGTACATACCTTAAACAATAATTCGTTTTATTTTGCCTTCTAACTTCAAATTTTCAAATAGAAGCAAATTATAATTTTTAATCAATGGTTGTACATGGAATCAAACATGAGACGCTATCACAGCATCAACTTTACAATTTTACAATCATGTCACTTTGTGTTGGGTAGTAACAATACTGTTTCAAGCTAGAATTCAATATTTTAGATTCATATCAATTTTGGTATAGTTTATTAGAGAAAGCAAGCTATTTATATATGCATACATACGTGAAGGCGTGCTGAAAATTTATCAGTCCAATCCACTTCTGAAAAGTGAACCAAATGTTATGCTTTGTCTGTATGAACTTCTTGATCGGTCCCGAAAGTTTTCAGTAAGCCACGTACACACACATATATATATATATATATATATATATATATATATATATATATATATGTGTGTGTGTGTGTGTGTATATATATATGTGTGTGTGTGTGTATATATATATATATATATATATATATATATATATATATATATATATATGCGTACTTTCCTACACATTAAGCATAAAAATATAAACTATTTCTTGACTATTTAATTCGTTGCATTCCGACAGGAATGCTTACTGAATTGGGATGTGAAATGCGAAAATAATGCTTAGCGAAGGAATGGTCCTTAACTATGAATTTTGTGTATAGAAAAAGAATCTTAGTCCGAACAAAGCTAAATTTAATGTCCTAGAAATAAGCACAACTTTCCGTGGATTATTTCATTTGTTTTAAAACTTACTGAAGACAACTTATTATTTTTTTAATCTTACCGATTCATATTTCTATTAACTCAACACAGAAATAAAAATAAAAAGAGATATAAGAAATGTTTGAAACAAATAATTATATTAGTCCGAATAAATTTTTGAATATTTATCTTATACCTTTGATCTTTAACTTAATAATCGAAACATTTTTTTCATCTTTCAAAAAAGGAAATTGTAATGTGACCGTTATATTTGATTTCTGAATAAGTCCCCAAACATTTCCACTATGAAAATAAAAGATAATTCTTCCAGATATAACAATAGGGACGTGCTAAGAAGTTTACAGTATTCATTGATATTTGTGGCGAAAAACGAGGAATCCAAGTAATGTTTACTGATGTAATCTTATGAAAAACAATGTACTTTGTATATTATTTAAAATAAATGTGCAATGGAAATAGATTACTTAAACTGTAATCCGTAATACTGAACAAACACTCTTATAGAGTTATCAATTACTAAATCTTTGCATACGCTGGCACAACGTCACTAATGTAATATTTAAATTGGTAGTAATTGGAATGGCTTGCAAGTTTAACTTATTAAAAACACTGATTCACAGAAAGGTATTAATATTTTACTACTTTGGACATCTAGTACATTTGAAGCATTCGGTGATGGTCGAAACTAGTATTGTAGTAAATATTTGTAAGACAAGTTTACTAATAGGGTGTGGCGACAAGTATTTACAGCTTAATCTGGTACAAGACCCCAAATGTGGCTCACTCAGTGAAGACTGAACTAATTATAGCAGTAAAGATTTATAGAAACTTTTGTTAACCACATTCTCTGAATGTGACTGAGAAAATATTTTTGTTTTATTCAAGGGGAGATTATCGATATGATCGTTTAGACACTTGTTAACGCCATTTGTATATGTAAATTATAAATGCAGCAACAGACGTTAACTATATCAAACATCTTATTGCATGCAGCTGCTTTGCCAATGAGAGCGAAACAGAATCAAAACAAAAGAAGTTACTTTGACAGACCAAACTTTAGTAGTCAGCTGACGCTAGTGATTTTACTTCAGTGAGAGACAGGTGTGAAAAATCAGTTAGAGGACGAGGAGACAGATATTCTTTAGAGCTGAAGTTCCTAGATATAGATTGCGAAGGAAAGTGATACTCAGATAGGTATCATTTGAAAAATCATGAACGGTGTACTGTACAGTGAAGAGAAAGAGAGCGAGCGTGCATTTAGAAGGTAGGTAGATACAAGTTCAGAAAATGTTTAAAAATAAAGACACTAGACAGTATAGGCTGCCCGGCGTCTAAGCCAGTTGTGTATTGTCCATTAGTATGGCGTTATAATCCAAGTAAAAGCCAGAATTTTGAATGCGGATTTTAAAGGCAATATATGCGTGTTACAGAGGTTACGAAAAGTGAAAGCATGAATTCATCTGTTCTACAAGCTATGGGTTAAAAAGCTAAGCAGAGTGGAGATTTTAGTATTGACTGGCTAGTCAATAAGTAATATTTTGAATTCCAAATCACAGAAAAAGTAATGGAAACCACTACACTGTCTTTTACAACAAGTTGTGCTAATTCGACGATTACCTAAGTTTTGAATGGAGGTGTCCCATAAAAACAAAAAACAAACTAACTCAATTTGTTGATTTGTTATAAATCGGCTGTCTTTACCGAGGCATCTTTAATTGGCTTTGGTCTGTACAAAGCAAAGTTAAGGTATGTTGACAGAGAAATCTAAGCTGTTTACTTCATAGTTTGTAACAGTATTTACAAATCTGGTTTAAATCCAGTATTAAGGTCATTCTATGCTAGAGAGAATGACCAGTACACAAACTATATATATATATATATATATATATATATATATATATATATATATATATATAGAGAGAGAGAGAGAGAGAGGGGGGTGGTAAGACGAAAGTTGCTCATCATAGGGGTTACTATGAAGGCAGTGAAATGACAGAGAAAACTCTCAGACGTGTTAATGAATCATGCAGGCAAAGAATTGAAATATATTTTAAAAAAGGAGGTGGACATTTTGAACGGCGCATATAACAATTAAATAAAATTTTCATGTATAATTATACGTTTAATAAATTATCCCTATGCTGTGCGGATTTTGACATATATATATATATATATATATATATATATATATAAGTGAGAGAGGCAAAAAAGTGTGTGTGCATGTGTGGTAGTGCAAAGAGAGAAAGATTAAACTCCACTTCCTGAAGAATACATTCATCACCGCATATACAAATTTAATCTTAGGTGCGTGAAACCATTTTTCTCGTTAAACAGAATTTTCACGTTATACTAAGAAAGAGGAAAGGATCTGATAATTTCCTGATGTCTGCAGTCTGAAGTCAACTCGTCATTTTTTGTAAGAACACAGTAATAAATGACAAATATTTTGTTTCAGATAAAACGGAAGAATATCAAACTATATATATAATGAATAAGAATATATGTACAGAATCAGTGAAATTTAGAGATTGAATTTTTTTTTTTTAATTCTCTGGAAATATGCCAAGAGAAAACAGGAATAGAAATATATGATTGAAAGAATGATTAAAGAAAAAGAAAAAATTTAAAATGTCCGGAAGCGGGAAATGAATTCATATAAATCGATTTTTCGCTTACTACTGTTTATTTACTGAAATCTTCGTTTTTCTCTTATCTCAATGGACAAACGTTCTAAACAGATAAGGATGTTAGTGTGCATAAATGCGTATGAGTATGGACATATCGATATTTTTATGCGCGCTCACGCGTGCTTGTGTGCGTGTGTTCAATAAATCCATTCAGTCACGGAAGGATGAAAACCATTTTTTTAGCGAATATTTTCCGACATTACATTCACAAGAGCTTAACACGAATTTCCGTCAATAATATATGGAATATTATATATTATACAGTGAATATTTCAGATCAAATTCATCTAATAACTGGATTTAATGAACCGCTCTTCTATGTATATAAACACATATTCGTGTGCGCGGGTACATGTGCACTTTACGATACATCATTTTTTTTTTTTTAAATCTCAATGAACCTTGTGTTTAAAATTATTTTCACGCCTCCCCCCCCATTTTTTTCTTTTCTTTTTAGCCACGTTTAACTGCATTCACAAAACAGATTACGAACTTTACTTTTGAAACGTACGTTTACTTTCCGCTAATCTTCGTAGTATCTTTTGGTAAGAATATTAAAGCAAGAAAAGAAATATTGAAACTGAAATTAAGTAGTAGCCTAACATGTAACTACTTGCCTAATTTTGATTTTGCTGTAATATTCAATGCATGTGTCACTATTGAACTGAGTTATTAAAAATGAAATTATGTTGAAAATTTCATATAAAAATGCTATTTATTTCCATCATTAGTCTAATTTGATAAAATTTTTCCTTGCCCTAAAGAACAAGCTTTTGAATCATTGAAGAAATCAAAACTTAAGCGTCTAAATACGTTATTGACATTAGTGCGTATTTTAAACTTTATAAACTTTCTCACCTTTGCAACTAAAATTATTACTAGTATATTATTTTTGTAGATGTATTATGAAATAATAGTTAGATTTATGCAGTTAATGA